AAGTAAGTAACCAGAGCCTTGAGTTCCTATAGTTATAAGGAAACCCAGCATTGGCATAGGTTGGTGAATAGCCCTCGAGGCCTCTGTTTCCTTGGGACTGAGGACTGGCTTAAACCAAGATGGTGGCACTTCTACTGATATATAAAAGTTTCTAATATCAATGTTTAGGAAGAGGAATCTTGGTCGGTAAAAAAAGAGTCCACAATTCAGGTAAAACCCAGCTTAGGTAATATGATAACTCAGAGCCAAGAGGGAAAAACAGTTATTTTAATTTTAATTTAATTTTATTTTATTGGCTTTCAGGCAAAAAGGACCTAGCTGCTGTAATACTTGCTTCCATACTTAACTGTGGAGCAAGGGTTTGGGATTTCTATTCCCACTGTGCTTCTATTCCCACTGTGCAGCTTGTGTAGCCTTGAGCATACTGCATAGTCTCAGAGCAGCTCGAGAAAAAGGGAATCGTAAACCACAAATGAGTACTTTATACCTAGGAAACCCCAGCAAGGATTGCCATGAATCAACTTAATGGCATATAATGATTAATTATGCTGCTGCTGGGGCTTGTGGAAAGCTCACCACCATCCCAGTGTTGAAAAGTAATACGTTATTTCTCATATTTACTTTGGTAACACATTACACTTTGCAGTAATGAAGTAGTATTGAGTTGCTTTTTTGCCTGTAATGGCCATGTCTGTAAATTCCTAGGTTATTAAAAACACAATGAGAACGCATCTCTTTCTGTTACTTCTTTGAGCAGCGACTGGGGGCAGAGAATGGGTCAAATGGGTGGCTCACTTGCTATATCACACATGGAGATTTATGGAAAGGAATCTTGTTATGCCAGTTCAATTTGTCCACTAATACTCATGAGAGTGCTTGCCTATAGAATTTCAGCCAACACAGCACTTTATGCACTGGGTTACAAATCCCATCCCATCTCCAGCTGGAGTGTGTGTGAGGGGAGCTGTAGTTCAAAGGAAGAAAGTGCCAAGGAAGTTGTTGCTTTTTCACATGTTTCCTTTACAGATCTTGCACAATAAACAGAATTGGCCACTTGAGGGAACCAGTGAACATTTCCTTGTATTTTCCTATGGTTGGATCAGGAATGGTAACACATTAATAATCAGGAGTGGGACCTAGAGATGGGCATGAATCAGAAAAAAATGTGCTTCATTTTGATTCATGATTAATCAAGGTCAATGAATCACGAATTACAAAGTTATGAATTTTTCTGACAAATTTATGAATTGATTTGTAAATTTGTTTTTGACTTTAAAACCTTATAAAACAGATCCCCAGGCCCCAATTTGCAGGAAGGCTCCCCCTGATTCTCCTCTACAAGCCCTGCATGTTTGGTGAAATGTGGGTTTTGGACATCCAAGTTATACACCCATAAGGAGGGCTCCCCCAGGAAAGTTCCTCCAAGGCACTTAGAGACACCGACATAACAGAGACGCTTTTACTGACTCTCCCTTACAATCCCTCCAAGTTTGGTGAAGATTGTTTTTCAGACATCCAGATTGTACACCCACAAAGTGAGTCCCCCAGGAAAGTGCCCTTTAGCAGCTGGCTTGGGGAGATGTAATCTTCACCAAACTGGGAGGGATTGTAGAGCAGAGGCAGAGGAAGTTTCCCTGTGATTTTGTTGCCTCTAGGTGCCTTGGAGGCCATTTTATAGCCAAACAAAAATCACTAAAATTCATTGATTTGTATTTGTTGAGGCCATTGATTCATATGAATACAAATCACCAAATCCATCATTTTAAAAATCAATTTGGTGATTCATTTTTTAATTCATGCCCATCTTTAGTGGGAACATATTAGTTTTGCAGAGAGGGTAATAGTAACTATCACAATCTCCTGCTGGCCCGAAGTAGTGAGTAATAGAAATAGTTCCTTTTAAATAGTAACAGGTTTTCAAAGTCTCCTGCTGGCCCGAAGTACAGTGGTGCCTCACACAACGAGCGCCCCGTAGAGTGATGAATTCGCTCTACGGGGACTTTTTTTTATCGCTAATGCGATCGCAGAGTGACGGCCCCAATGGGCGAAAATCGCAGAGCGAAGGTTGCTTTGCGACCTGCCGATCAGCTGTCCGGCGGCTACAAAATGGCCGCCGGAAGCCCCAAAATGGCCACGCGCAGCGTTTTCGCGCCCTCGTTAAGCGAGGGGGGGGCGCGAAAATGGCTGCCGGCCATAGGAAAGCATCGCTGAACGGTGAGTATTCGGCCCAATTGCAACGCATTAAACCATGTTTATGCGTTCCAATGGCTTTTCCTGCCCTGTTCAACGATGCTTTCACACAGCGAGGGTTAATCCGGAACGGATTAACCTTGCTGTGCGAGGCACCACTGTAGTGAGTAATAGAAAGAGTTCCTTTTAAATAGTAACAGGTTTTCAAGGAAGACTTTTCCCCCTTGCTTTATGTTGTTCCTCACAACATTGTGTAGCAAGAAGGTTCATAATGACTCACAGTCTTGGTGATCCACACTCTGCCTTACCCCCGAACAAAACAATGACCCCTTCTGCAGGCATCTGCCGGCTCTCTCAGTCCCCTCACTTCCGACTTTTTGGTAGGCCAATGTTGTCCAGAAACAACACACATACAAACACCTTTGTTCTCAGCCACTGAGAAACAAGACAGTCTGTAACACATTCATGTTGCAGTCTTTCTGTGTTTGTGAAATCAAACTTCAAGAGTATTTCATGCTTAAATCTCAAAAGTCCAACACCAAAGAAAGCAAGCTGATCTGTATAATCCCATAGTTCAGGAAAGCTTATGCAGTGACGCTGAATCACCCACATTAGTTAAAAATTTCCGTGCTCCCGCAACAGGCTATCTCTAACATCTATTTTTGGCCTGAGTCTTCCTGCGGGCTGGTAATGGGTGGAAGTAGGTGCCCTTGGTTTAAAACCAGACAAAAAAGTAACACTTCCCTCCTCCAGTGCTCCTTGGAAGGAGGATAAGGAACATGGTGCCCCTGGATGCTGAATACCAGTGTACCCTTGGAAATCCCCCCACCCCCTCCTCTTAAGCACAATTTTTTAAAGCTAAAAATGTCTTACCATTAATTAGTCTTGCTTCAAAGAGAAGTGAGGCCCTCTAGCTGCTGGCATCTTCCTTTCCCAGAAATGGCTCTGGGCCACAATGCAGAGATATTATTGCAAAATTATAATGGCAATTGGCTGTGGGCTGTTTTCTTTTGCAATCTACTTCATCACCAAGAAAAAGAAAGTGGGAAAGGAAAGGTCTCTCATTGCTATTGATCAACAGAGTGGGGTTGGAGTCCAGGAGCCAATGAAGGAGAAGAGATTTGTGTGCATGTGTGTGCGCGTGCAAATATGTTTGTAAATCGTGTATGATCTATAGTGTTTTTATTGTATGTGTGAGAGTCCAGGAGTCAAATGAAGGAGATTTGTGTGCATGTGTGTGTGTGTGCAAATATGTTTGTAAAGCGTGCATGATCTATAGTGTTTTTATTGTATGTGTGTTTAGCCCTAAGCTGGAGTTTGCCTGCTCACATGTGGGGATAAACTGGGAATAAGGATGTGGGTCCATGTAAGCACCATCCTAAGCACTGCCATACCTCTGACAACAGAGGGGTCTCCTGCTAGGTTTAGTTGGATGCAATTACAGAGTTCCTGTGACTGGCCAGATTTATACCCTTCTAAGCAACTCTACACACAACATTCAACCAAATGTAGTCAGATGGCCCTATGCGTAAAGCCCATAATGCTCAATGGAGAAATGTCTGTGGCGCTGCTGAGTGCATAGTGACATAGAGCCTTAGCTGTGTGCCCACTGACCTGCAAGTTTTGCTTCATTTGATTAAGTTCCCCTTTCTTTTAGAAAAATCTGTTTTGTGGACTACATTTCTTTGGTTGCTTCATGTATTTCATATATACTGAACCTTCTGGTTTATAACCCGAGACAGGCTTACACAAATTGTAAGTGCCAAGTTTTCCAAGCCAGAACTGGCTCTCCCTGATACAAGGTAATTCTCTTATACAGCCCACTCTGAAACCCAAACTCCTTTCCTTAGTACAATTTAACTCTCTCTCTCTGTCCTCCATCCTCTTCAGCTCTTCTTTATACTGTATATCCTCCTGCTGGCTCCGCTGGATTGGCTCTCCTTTCTGATATTTTCCAGCCAATCACTGGGTAAAATGAGTGAGGGTTCTGTCACAAAAGGTATCATCTAACCCTTGCATTTGTGTAATCCTGAATCACACAACTTCCTCCCAATTCTTTCTGATTCCCTATAAGAACTCTGTTTATTTTTTCTTATTCTACATTGTAATTGTTTGTATAGCCTGGTTCTTGTGTGGTCAGTCATATTGCTAACAGGATAAGCTCTGTGTGAGTGCAATTTACAGAGACCAATCTGCTTAGATGCACTGCTACCGATACACTATATATGTCCAATTTCATAATGTGTACAAGTGTAGGCATCTGTTTCCAGAGCACCCCTGCAGAAGTTAGAAATATTTCCCTGTATAAACCTGCCTTATCACTAATGGCTGCTGGGGAAGCTCTGTGTGCTACCATTGAGAACAGTGTGTTATCTGGCAACACAAGAGGAGGGAGTTTTCTGCCAACCCCCCCTCCAATTGTGGAATGCCCTCCCTTTGGAAGCTTAATTGGCACCAACACTGGCATCATTTTGCCATCAAGTCAATATGTATTCATTTATTAGAGCATTTGGGAGTTGAGGATCATGGCCTGCATAGATTTTAGTGCAATGTTTTAATGTTAGAGTGTTTTAATCTGGTGCTGCTTGATTTTACCTTATTTTCAGAATCTTATATTTTAAAGTTGCTTTATACAGCTTTGTAGCCTACCCTAAAATCCTATGATATAGGGTGGGCTATAAATATTTAAATGAAATAAGTAAGTAATAAATAAAATATGAGAAGTAGATACATAAGGATAGGAGACCCACATCTTGACTGATGTGACATTTTTTAAATTAATCAATACATTTACCAAAACATAATGAAGATAAGCATGTCATTCCATTTTTATTTTTTATTTTTTAAAATATTTGCACTAATTATACGTTGATAATGTGCTGTGGGTGAATTATTAATTACGAACAAGGCCCATCAGAAGTCCGAAAAAAGCAAATAATCCGAAGACACCGAAATAAACAGCCTACAGGAAAGAAGACAATTATGTAGGGTTATGCAGTGCTGCTGGTCTTTCCTGTCTCTGAACTAAGTATAACATATGGCTTACACACATATTTTGAGAATTAAAAAAACCACATATATTTTAAATGGTCAAATTATAGAGTTAATTAAATGTATCCAAAATCTGGGTTTCAAAATATCCCCATAACAAATTCTAAATAAAAGGGCGAACTTTGATGCAGAAATCTGAAATTGTTCTTAACATTTGGGAAATTGCCATAAACATAATGACAGAAATTGATTTCCTCAAACCTCATTAAATTTCTGCAACCAAGCATAAACCATGCAATATGTATCTGCTTTCTGCTTTTTCAGTCCTGTTTTCTAATCTTACCTCTAACCCCCATCTGATATACAAACCCTTTCTATATGACCTATACATTTTCAGTTTGTCCCTCCCACCAACATGAGAGTTAGAAACCTATACATGTATATCTAGGGGGAAATCTTCTAATTTTTCTTTCTGTTTAGCTTTCTACTGAACTCTATAAAGAATCTCCATACAATTGCTCAGAGTCTCACTCAGCAAACATCAAGAAATCTTACGCACCTGTTCACTTGTAGCTTCATCATAACGTATAAAGGTGGCAAAATGCTCACAGTTGCGAAGGAGCACATTGTACGATATCTCTTTCCCAACACAACTCAAAGCTGTGTGGACTATTTCCTCCACACTTTTAGGTGGGCGACTGTTGTCATGTTTATTGTTGACTCGCCACTGGTCTCCTGCACATGCATCTAAAAGCCGATCTATTTTTACCAGTGCCTTCTTTGTATTGGAAGAGGCTAAACTATCTCCTACAACCCCATCTGAAAAAGAGAAAGTTAAAAAACAGGACCGGAAACTATTTTATCTGTGAACTGTGTCGCCCAATATCAATACAAAGTCCAGACATTAGAAATGGTTTTTAATCCTGCCTTTTGATTTACACCAGTTCCAGATACTAAGGCAGTGGCTGCTTCTTATATTTGGGCTTACCCAAATTCTGGGAATTCCAATGAGCTGCCCCTGATGTCCTGTTTTCATTAATGCACATGTATACAAAATCTCTTTGAGTTCACTGAATTCATTGAGGCGTAATACTGTACATTGGCTGAAATCCTGTAGTAACTTACAACTAGAGAAGGTCCATTGAATCAGTAGGAATTTAGTGAGCTAGCTCCTTCATAAAATTCATTGATTCAGTAGGCCTACTCTAGTGTGACTTACTGCTGGATTTCAGTCAACGTAATCAATATGTTCTTGAAACCCTAAGGGGTATGTATGATCTTGAATTCAAAATACTAGTTTGCAGTCCTCATTACCTCAAAGAAGTAATAAAGGAAAGAAGGAAAGTGACACCCACAGCCCTAAAGTACTACGGTCCAAGTTGAGTGCTACTCTGAGCTGGGTCAGAGTAGACTACTTTCCTCTCCCAGCACCACACAATAAAGTCGTTGCTCCCATTTACTCCTCCCCATGCAAAAACATGTATCTTTGTTGTCACCTGAGCTTTACCCAGCCATGTTCATCGGTAGGCACACAATGCTTCACTTCCAACACCCAGGAGCCATCATAATCAGCAACAGGGGAAGAGAAGGGTACATCCCACAGGTGCAGGGAGGGACCCCTTTGACTGGTGTTCTCTAGATCTGCAGTCCCCACAGCTGTAGCCACAGCCACCACCTTGCCCCCAGAAGAAGGAGGTGCCAGTGGCAGCAGCAGGAGGAAAAACTGCAAAGTTTAAAAGGCTAGTCATGCCTTTTTCTACATTCAGTTCAATGCCAGGCTGCAAGGGATCTTTGAGCTGAATGTTTTGGGAAGATTTTCAAACACAGAAAATGGAGGCAATTCTCTAAGCCACCCTTCCCACACTGCTTCATTTGAGAAATCCTCAGAACCCAACATTAACTTCTGCTTGTTGTTGTTTTGACTTATATACTGCCCCATAGTGCTAAAGTACCACATTCTTCCGTGTACAAAGGTGTCTCGACTTACGAACATCTCTAACTACAACCATTTCAAGTTACGACCAGCTCCAGCCGCAAAATTTTGCTTCTACTTGCAACCGGAGCTTCCACTTACAAACAGAAAAAGGCAGGGGAAAAAGGCGGGAAATTCAAAATTCTAACTCTAGTTGGCGACAAGGCTGCTTCTTTGTAGCTCTTTTCCCCCAGCAGTTAGAGAGTGTGTGTCAGAGGAGGCTTTGGACTGCCTCCTTCTGCTTCTGAGTGAGCATTTGTGTGTGTTTGTAGGGAGACTTCAGGCTGCCTGGTAAGGTGAGGTGGTGTTTTCTACTTTTTAAAAAACTGTTCTGGTGTTTTTGCAGCGTGGTTTTGGGCTGGGGGGGTTATGTTTCTGTGCTGTGATGGGTCTTGGGGTTTTTGTTTGTTTGTTGGGTTCTTTTCCCATTTCCGATGCATCTTGGGGTTTTTGTTGCTTTTTGGAGTGTTTTTCCCCATTTCCAATGGGTCTTGGGGGGTTGGTGTGTTTTTTGGCTTTCCTCCATTTACGATGGGTCTTGGGGTGGTTGGTTGGTTTTAGGGGGGTTCCCACACTTTCCCCCATTTACGATGGGTCTTGGGATGGTTGGTTGGTTTTAGGGGGGTTCCCACATTTCTGATGGGTCCTGCATGCTTCCCTTGCTTTTTCCTTTGTTTCCTTTGCATTTCCGACCTGCCTCTGTTGTTCTCTGTGCATTTCTGATCTGCTCCATTTGTTTTCTGTGCATTTCCAATGGGTCTTGCATGCTTGATTGCTTCCCCCCCCCCTTTGGCCAGAAGGGATTAATCGTGTTTCCAATTAGTTTTGCAGTGATTTTTTTTTTGGTGATTTTTTTTCTTCGGCTGGAACGGATTAATTGCATTTCAGTGCATTCCTATGGGAAATGTTGCTTCGACTTACGACCATTTCGAGTTACGCCCCATCTTTTGGAATAGATTATGGTTGTAAGTCGAGGCACATCTTTTGGAATAGATTATGGTTGTAAGTCGAGGCACCACTGTATAAAATGACACTTTTTCCTATAATAATTAGAGGATAATTTGAGAAGCGTTTTATACATGGAAGGCAGCAGGAGGAGGCAGAAACTCAGGCAAAGGAGAAGCCTCGCTTGGCCACCTCTTGCGGCTGCTCACTGACTGCCGCTGCTGCTGTCCAATCGCCACCTCCTCCTGCCAGGGCTCACCTCCAGCTCACATCACCACCTTGTCCCCTGCCCAAAAGAGACGACAGGTGGAGGAGGCGACAGCAGTCAATGGGCAACTCAGGCAAAGGAGAAGCCTCGCTTGGCTACCTCTTGCGGCTGCTCACTGACTGCCGCCGCTGCTGTCCAATCGCCACCTCCTCCTGCCAGGGCTCACCTCCAGTTCACATCACCACCTTGTCCCCTGACCAAAAGAGACGATAGGTGGAGGAGGCGACAGCAGTCAATGGGCAGCAGCACGAGGCGACCGAGCACAGCTGCTTCTTTGCATCTGTCTCCGCCTCCTCCTCCTGCTGCAGTCTCCTCCAGCGCCACTCGCGGGGTCAGCAGGAGGAGGAGGAGGCAGAGACGGAAGCAAAGGAACAGTCACACTTGGCTGACTCTTGCTGCTGCCCGTTGACTGCTCCTCCACCTCCGGCACGGGTAAAAATTAGGGGGTCATCCTATACATCGGGGGGGTCATATACATGGAAAAATACAGTGTGGACAGCTTACAAGTAAATTATGCAAATAACACTCCATGAGCGGGAAACACATTTTACCAACCTTGGAAGGATGGAAGGCTGAGGCAGTCAGCCTCAAGCCAGTTACCTGGATCCATCAGGATCCAACTCAAGTCACGAGCGGAAACTTGACTGCAGTACTGCAATTTAATCACTGTGCCATGGGGCTTCATTGATTGTAGGATACCGGAGTCCTATATAGCAGGGGTCCCCAACCCCTGGTCCGTGGCCTAGTGCCAATCTGTGGCCATGGCAGGACTGGGCCACGGAGACAGATCTCCCACCCACCTCCGCACGCACTTCCCACACACACCCCACCAGCACGCATGGTCTGCCACCCGCATGAATGGGTGCCCTGCAACTCCACACATGCAGGAGAGCATGCCCCTCTGTGAATGCACCCCTCCCCTCCATGCATGCATGTGAGCATGCCCCCGCCTGTCCATGAGCATGCCCCTCCCCTCCGTGCATGCGCACAGGCATATCCCTCCCCTCTGCGCATGCACACAAGCACACCTGCCACTCCGCACATGCGCATGAGTGCACCCCCTCCTCTGCGAGCACACCCCAGCCGCCTGCGAGCACAGGGGGGGTGCCCTATCCCCTGCACTCAGACCCCACCCCCCCAACCAGTCTGCCATTCAGAAAAGGTTGGGGGATACTGCTATGTAGTATAGCTGTCCTCTGAAGAGGAGGGGGCAGCTGCTACCATCTTCTCTAGCTCTTTATCATTAAGCTACACAACCACCTCTGACTAAACCATACTTAGAAAACTCTGGAAAAAGGGCCACCATGATTCACCAGCAACTTGACAGCACATAATACTAATACACAAAGAGCACCACTGGTTGATTTAGCTCATTATTCAAATTATTCAGTTTTTAAAAACCGATTTAACATTGGGCTATAGCCTGAACGTGAAAAACACAATTTGATTGGAGGCAGACAGGGGAAGATCTACTATGAAACTATTGAGGCTTAATCTTCAGGGACCTTATCCTGGAGGGGCCCCAGAAGGGACTGTAGTCCACTTTTCTTTTCTTTTCTTTAATGGTGGCCATCTGTTGTGGAGCAAGCCCATTGAAGAAGATAGCAGTGATTACCCAGACCTCACTGCTGGTTGCAAAGCACTCCCCAATAACAATTCAAACTTCAGGGCCTCACAAATGTAGGTCTGCCACTGGAGGCAGAGGAAGCTTTCACCACTAAGCTTTGTGGGTGGGTGTGGGGGGCAAGGCAGGAGATAACAGGTCAAAGGTTGGAGATAGGAATCATTCCTGCAGGAGCCTTAAATCTGGCAGGGACTCTGCACCCACTGTACTCCCACTGAAAGGATACCGACTTTCAGAAACATGTTTGGGAGAGGATAACAAGGATCCTGGTACCAGGTAGACATTTTTCATTCTCATTATAGGGTCACTGGCAAAAGCATAAAATCTGCCTTTGGAATTTCTTTTTCTAAAATGACCCAAAGATTATTTTCTACTTCACATACAATCTTCCTTCAGTCTTTTTAGAAAATACGGTCTAACCTGCTGAGGCGAGATGGACCACATATCCACTCCCTACATATACAGCCCAGTGTTTGTAAAAGGGTCGGAAAATTTCAATCAGGTCTCCTCGTTGTGGGTCCTGCAAAAAGAAATCAAGAAAATAATTAGTGTTTTCTGTAGCTCCTGCGATATTTCTGCATGCTAAATTCACTGTCAAGGACAGTGCTTTTCTTCAAGCCTTGGTATTATATCTGATTACCAAGTTTGGGATTTTTTAAAAAAGCTATCCCTAACTGGTAAGCAGTAGGATGTTCTGGGTCCTAGAAAGTCATCCTACCACTTCTCACTGGTTGCTGGTTTTAGCCCATTCTTTATATGGCTTTTAATTAAAAGTAATTTTCCACATTCAGTGCCCGAGTTGCATTATTTATTCATTTAAAATATTTTTACTCTGCCTTTTTCCTTTAAAAGGATTCAAGGCGGCTTACATAATTAAAGACAGCATTTAAAGCTAACAACAGTGAGTATACAAATCCTTTAAAAATCAGATAAATACTGTGAGGGTTCACAGTACTCTGAGGTACCTCAGGGCCCAATTCCTTCTTAGGACTGACTAAATACAACTGTCTCATTGTATCCAAATTATCAACATTTATTTCTGATAAATCAAGAAAACTATTAACATCAACAAGGATATTTAACTTCTCCTCCTCACACAATGGTTAACTGTGGCGTTTCAAACAGTCCTGTACCTACAGCAGGTATTGGCTCTCTCAACTCTGATCCTGGTAGTACTGACAGCAGGAGCATCTGGTCTCTGCTGCAGGGCTCAAACCCGAGTATTCCCGTTCCTGGCTCTTGGAATTCTCGTGGCTCCGGGTCTTAAAATGTCTTGTCCCAGGAGGCACCATCCTTCTTTCTCTCTTCTCCTGCACTATCCTGACTCTTTCCTCTCTTATGCTTCTTTCCCACTCCCTGCCTTTCTTCTCACCCTAGCTGGAGGGTTTTTGAGGTCTCATTTTTCTTCTCCTTTTCTCTGCCTCCTCATGTGAAATCATAAGTTTTCCCCATTGCTGAATTCAGGGATTTTCCATCCAGATACACTCCCATCCTGGTGGAAGTATTCTAATTTTTTATACAGTGGTGCCTCGCTTAACGGGCGCCCCGTTTAACGACAAATCCAAATAGCGATGAATTTTTTGCTATCGCTTTTGCGATCGCATTGTGATGTTTTAGATAGGGAAAAATCGCATTGCGATGATCAGTACCCTGTTTTGCATACCTATCATCGCATAGCGATGATTTTCCAACAGCTGATCGGTGGTTCCAAAATGGCCACCGGGTAAAAAAAACGGCCGCCCGCTGTGTTTTCGCCCGGATTCCTCGCTTACCGGGCAGCGAAAATGGCAGCCTTATGGAGGATTTTCGCTTAAAGGTGAGTTTTAAGCCCAAGGGGTTTCAATGCATTCCTATGGGCTTTTTATTTTCGCATAGTGACGAAATTGCCTTGCAGCGATTTTTGCTGCACGGATTATCGTCGCTATGCGGGGCACCAAAGTATTTATATTTTATGGGATTTCTACCCCACCCATCTAGACCAAAGGTTCTCCTTTCTTTCATAGTGTCCGCCTCTTGGGCTTCAACCACTCCTTTCTTGCTCCTCTCTCCCTTATATATTCCTGATCCCAACTTTTCTCCTATTCCTGTCTTTCCAAATATTACTTCACTTCCACCACTGTCTTCTCTATCTCATCCTTCAACCCGACTCCTTCCTCGGTTGGTTTTCCCGCCTCTGCCAGCAGTCTTGTCCCATTGTCTCTCTATTCCTCCTCTTTGCTCTTCCAATTCTGCCTCGTCTGTGTCTTCCATAGGGGTGGTAACTTTCCATATGACCTGGGGCTTCCCCTTCTGGGCTTCTATGGGTCTTTCCCATTTCTCTGTAGCGCACTTGAGCCAGAATGGTACCGGACCAGCTATTCTCCTCACAAATACCATTCTAAAAAACAGTAAGCAAAAGCTTGTTTTTCATGCTGCTGACAGGGCAAGGTCTGCATAGTGATATGTTAGCATAGTTTCCACACATAGTCTGGTCCATTACAAAACAATGTGCTTATCTATACATTTAAAGTAATAAATACATTTAAATTTCTAAAGGAACAAGCAACAGTCCTGAATATCAATGATAAGGGAATGTATATTCTCATCTTCTTTGTGCGGTCAGCCATGTTTTGCTGTTCTTGTTTTTTTTTTAAGTTATAAAAGGCTGTCTTGCAGTCCTGGGGAAGAGCCCTCCTCTGGTATTTCCATTCTAGAGCTGTGGTGCCTCGCTGTGGATCCCTAGATGTTCTTGGACTGCTACTCCCAGAAAGTCTGGCCAGCACAGCTTGTGGTGGTGGCTTCTAGGAGTTGCAGCCCAAGAACATCTGGAGACCCAAGGTTGGGAATCACTGTTCTAGAGGGTAACAACAAGAGAAGTGCACTAGAACCAAAATTCAGATTCAGAATTTGGCAGAGGGTGTACAGGGCTTTGTTGGCACAATGGAGGGCATAATCTTGGTGGATGGGGAGAATAGCATTTTTTTTCCCAGCCGGATGTGGTGGCCTTGGCCAGCTAACAAAAGGACATTTTTTGGGCCACTACAGGTTTGCGTTCTTATGCAAGAAGGACTGAAGTAAAAGGTGCCATTTATATACTGCCCCATAGCACTTGAAGCACTCTCTGGGTGGTTTATAAAGTAGTTATGCAGACTACATGTCCCCGTCCCATTCCCCCCCCCCTGCAAGCAGGGCACTCAATTTACTAACCTTGGAAAGATGGAAGGCTGAGTGAGCCTCAAGCAGGCAACCTGGATGTGAACCCGTGTCATAAGCAGAGACTAGGCTGCAATACTGCAATTTAACCACGGTGCCACAGGGGCCACGCACTGCACAGTGCAGTACATTCTAGTAGCTCTCTCGGACCCCTGAATTAAACAGTGGGGAATGGATATTAAGCAGCAGTGGGGGGCGGGGGGCGGGGATGCCACCCAGCTTCCTGACACAATTAGCAGCAGCTAGTGAAGAAGGTCTGGCTAGCACTGAAGGGGTCACACAGGGCAGGAAGAAACTAGCAGTGTTCATAGCACCCCAAACAGCAATACCATTCCAGAGTCCAAGTCCCTCATGCCTGCAACAACAGGGCAAGCTTTCTGGGACACTGTCTTGACAAGCACGGCAGAGGCCTGTCCTCCAGAGACACAATCCCCGATGAAGGACAGGGCAGAGGCATACGTGCAGGAGCCCTGCAAGCCAAAAGAGATCAACCCCTTGTCTTATTGGGCTGAGAAAGAGTCTGGCTTGGGGAGGTCTGGCCAAGGTGGCAGTGGGACTGCTGTCTTGTCCACCAACTAGTGGGCCCAGTGACAGAGTGTTCTCTCAGGCAGGAGACATTGTCAGTCCACACTGGCCACACCTGGAACCTGTAGAAAAACTTATTTTCTTTAAGATCAATTTACCTACTATTGCTGGGCTTCTCTATAGTCCCCTCAAAGTAAGAAAGGCTGGCACAGTCTGCTCACCGAACTAAGCGTGCCATGCTTCAGTCTGCTGCACCCTCCTCCCGCCTCTTTCATTCTTAAAACTGCTACTCCAAGATTGTGCTTCATCATTCAACCATGCTGGCTAGGCTGCTCTGATTGGCCTGCCATTTTGTGGCCTCTCCTCCGCTTCCCCAGTGCCGCTGACATTTCCTGCCCGCATTCTCGCTGCTCAGGGTCTGCTCAGGGTCCAATTGTTATGCCTATTACATCTGTTTCCAAACAACCAGGCTCTGCTGGTAGTTGGCGTTGCATTGTTTTCGTTCTGCGTAATCACCAGGAAGGTATCAGATGACACGGAAATCCTTAAAAATGTTTGCTGTTTGTGTTTTTTTAAGGGGAAAATAATGATTTTATAGTATTCATATGCACTATAATGAAGTCATATAATCACAGAATGGATGACATAGAGTTTTAAAGCACAGGATCACGTGTCTTCGGCTAAGGGGAGGCTCCCTGTGAAACAAGGCCTGGGGCAAATAGCCTGGCTGTCCCCCGTTCCCCGCCCCATATAGCATGTCTCCTCCCGGCCCAAAAAATAAGTATTGAACAAATGGAGTTACCCCACCCTTAAAGTTCAATTTCTAGAGGACTCTTACCCGATCCATGATGTCTTTTATCCAGGCTTCTCCTAGAGACTATTTTTATCTGCAGCAATGATACGATTAGTCAGAGCTTGGCACAACAGCAGGTTTTTTGTAACTGTCAGAGGAGCATGGCCGAGGTCAAAATTGCAAGCCAGAAATTAACCATTTCAGGGCAACTGCGTGTAGTCAAATTACATCCATTTCCAGAAGAGCGTGACAGAATTTAGAGCTTTCACCAACTGCTAAAACAGGGCTTCGAGGAACGTGCTGATTAATTTGTTTCTAGAAATGACTTTGTTGGATTGTGAAGGAGGAATAGGACGAGAGGAAAGTAATGAGAGTGTGCCATCTCCTTAAGGAAAGGAACTGTTAAAAGAAACAAGAGAGGAAACAGAAGGAGTGACTGGAGGGGGGAAAGGGGAGAGAGAGATGAAAGTACAGTACTGTAGAGGTTTGTTTAGTAGAAGAAGGAAAGGGAAAGGAAGGGGAGGGGAGGAGTTAACTTTACACATATGGGAAGAGGATAAAAAGAAGGAGGAGGAGGAAGTGAGGACATTTATTCAGAGTCCCAGAGGAAGACATGAAAGGAGGGAAAGAGGTTGATTACAAAAAGGCACACAATTTGTTGGAAGATTTCCCCAACCTGAACGTTGGAGGCTTGTTGCCAGATCCTGCTCCAAGAAAAGAAGGAGCCAGGGGCAAAGAACCTTTAGAATGGACCATGCTGGAGGCTCATTGGAGGAAGGCGATCCAGCCAGATGCATCTTTCCAACAACCACCACTTGAGGGAGACTGGGCATGCCACCCGTGTTGTGGCATGGTCTGCGCGGTGAGGAGCGCTCCGTTCAGAAAGATGAACAACAACCACTGGGAGACTGGGCATGCCACCCATGTTGTGGCATGGTCTGCACGGTGAGGAGCGCTCCGTTCAGAAAGATGACAGACAAGGAACGATTTGGGCCAGCTCCGTGATGAAATCGGACTATTCCATTAGTGAAATGTTACCATGTTCTTATGGACAATTACCCAAACTGAGTTGTCATGAACCAATAGAAGTAGTTGTTGAACCACCTGGAGTTAAATATAATAAATCTGTTAATGTTTCAAATGACTCTTCCTGGTTATTTCCCGCCCAAAAAGAGAAACTGCACCACCTTTCAACTAGGGTTGCCAGATACATTGGTACCAAAAGGAGGACATAGAAAGAAAAGAAAGGAGGACAAAGGAGAACATATTGAATGTTTCATTTGAATCGTTCCAGAGTAAACCCGCAATCAATACAATTTTATTACAATTGCTGCCAATAAATGTCTCTTAGTAAACTGAACTGGAAACAGTCATGTTAAAAAATAAAAATAAATTCAATGGAGGCTTTTTTCAAAATACCAAAGAACATTATTTAAACAGCTAATTGTACAATTATTACCTTTTAATTTTTATTAATTACATGACATATTTCTCAGAGGAGCAAACTTTTCGCAGAAGATCTTCATTAGCAATCACATATGCATAAAACTGTTCACAAGTAATATTCTTCAAATTGTACTTTGTGAGATATTCACCGTGGTGGCAGCAGAAGAAAGACGAAATGTATCCAGAGAGTGAACCTTGGTTGGAGGAAAACAAACTGGGAACACTGGGTGGAATGTCACAGTGATTAACGCTGCAAAATCAATCACTCTTGCCATGGATAGACAACTCCATATGGAAAAAGTCACAGCTCTTGTGAGTAAAAGAGATCTACAACACTGCCAAAGTAAATGTCAAAGCTAGTCAATACGGTATCTTGAGCAAAACAGCATTTCACACTCTGATGCCTTCAAAGTAGTGATGGGAAGGAATGTTGCTGGATTCTCCTGACACAGGCCAGTCTACATGTACGATAGATATTAACACTGCCTCATGTGTGTTATTGGCTCATCACATGATTGTTGTTGTTCTTTAGTTGTTAAGTCGTGTTCGACTCTTTGTGACCCCATGGACCGGACCAG